CCCCCCCAACTACTTCGTTCCCTGCACCCTGTCACCTTCAAGCTGCTAGCCTTGCTTAGCCATCTGTCTCCCCATGCTCTGCCTCCACCATCTCCAGGGGAGAGGGTCTGGACAGGGCCTTGCTCTGGCAGAGCCCGAGATCCACCTGGACCCTCTCACTTCCGCCTGCTGCCAGTAGACTCTGCACTGAGGCCCACACACGTCTGGGCCCCTGGTGCGGAGCCCCCAACCCAGAGCATAGCTCCAGGCAGCTCCTGGCAGGGCCGGCCTGGCTGGTGGCACTAGTGGCTAATGGCCCTCGCTCTGCCTCTCTCCCTCCATGTCTTCCCCATCCCTCCAGGATTGCTGTGGGAACTGCAGCGACAGTGAGGAAGAGCTCCCCACCCGCCTCGAGCTCCCCACCCGCCTCTAGCCCCCAGCCTGAGGCCCCCACCGGTGGTTGGCGGTAGCAGCTACTCCAAGCGCTGTTTACAGTTTTGCACAGTGGTCTTCCCCATTGCCCACGCAAGTTGTGGCCTGGGGAACACAGCCGGAGCTGTCCCCGGTGTCCTCTGCCCCTCAGCCCCTGGTCTGGCTGAGTTCGGGCAAGGCCTGGGCTGTCCCTGGGACAAAGGTGCGTCCCTTCAGCTCTTGTCTGTGGAGCTCGGGGCTTTCTGTATTTATGTATTTGTACGAATGTATATATCAACCAGAGTGTTCTTAAGACCCACCCTGGAGCTGGCAGAGGGGCCACTGCCAAACTCAAGGCTCCTTGGGCCCAGCTTGGACAGGCCGAGACTCGGCCAGGCAAGGCCCTGAGCCCCCAGCACTGTGCTCGCCACCGCTGACCTCCGAGTGAGACTCATGCCTGCCTCTGCTGCCTCGGGCTCAGGCCACCACCTCTGTGGTCCAATGCTGTCCCTTCTCAGCACTTGTCAAAGCTGGATCTGGGGCCTCTGTATCCCCTAGGCCTGTGCCAAAGTGTGACCAGGGATTGGGCTGACCCTGGGACCCATCAGTCCACTGCCCAGGTTGTCCCAGATGGGTCTGCCTCTGCCTTCCAGCTCCCAGGGCGCCTCGTCCCTCATGCTGGGCCCTGTCCTGAAGACACCTCTTGCAGAAACGCCCCAGCCCAGGCCTTGGGAAGGGGGGAGGAGGTTGTCCCTGGCCAACTCTCAAACATTCCAGACTCCCCTCTTAACAATAGACATATGTGCCCAGCAATAATCCATCCCTCCCTGTGTGTGCCTGTGGGGTGTGTATGTGAGCGTGTGCGTGTGTGTGAAGGGGGGTAGGGTGAGATGTGTGTGTGCCTGCACCCCAGGCCCCAGTTCTGGTCCTTCCCAGATTGTGATGGCCATCCTGGTCCCAGTGTTAGAATAGCATGGGATTACAGGGCCCTGGTTTTTCCGTATTTAAAGCCAATTTTTATTACTCATTTTGTCCAATGTAAGCTGCCACGTGTCTCTGAGTGAATACAGTCGAGCACAAACCTGGCCAGCTGCCCTGCCTGCCTCTTTCTTGCTCCTGTTGTTCCAGGGGTCTTTCCGCTTCCCTCGCTCTGCTAGAAGTGGGAAGGGATCAGAGGTGGGCCTGGTGGGGGCTGCCCTTCCCACATGCCCAGGACATCCCCCACCCCCACCCCTGTGGCTGATCTTGGAGTAACCTCTCCAGGCAGCCAGGCCTCAGTGGCCTTTGGGCTCATCCAGTGGGTTTCTCGGCTTCCTAAATGAGAAGAGGCCTGAGGGAAGAAGCCTTGGGTCCCCACTAGGGTGGCGAGTCTGGCTCTACCTGTACCGGGGAGGCAGGTTTAGCTGGAAGGGTCCCCTCCAAGGCCAGGGTGGTCTGGTAACCAGTTGTGGGCTTGGAGCAGCCTGGGGAGCAAGATGGAAGCTGCTGTTAGAAACATCTGCCAACTCTGTCTTACCTGGACACCTGTTGTATGCTTAGCCCAGGGCCAGTGAATTAAGGCCATCCCTTGGCCCTGGAAGCAGGCAATGTGGCTGGGCAAAGGTGAGACAGTGGTGATGCTGGGAGTTAGGCTGTGGCAAGGGTGGGTGGGGACCAGCCAGTGAGGACATTAGGGAGGGTTCTCTGAGAAGTTGAGCCAGGTCTTAAAGTGAGACTTACTCACCTGGGTTGGGGGAGCATTCCATAGCATTCCACCTATGCAAAGAAGGAGATGATAATCTGTTGACAAGTCTGTCCCAGACTTCATAAACCTGTTGCCGCACCATAGTCTCCCAGTGCCCCCAGCCCTCCAGGGATGCTCTGTAACCACAGTAAGGGTTTGTTCCTTGCCTCTGGGCCAGGCACCAGTGCCACGGGCCACGTGAGCTTTGCAATTGGACAGTTCTGGGTTTGAGTCTCAGCCAGGCCACTTTTCAAGCTGGCTTTGCATAGGCCCTTCCCTTGTCTAGAAAGATGGGTGTGATACCCATCACCTCACAGGGCAGCTATGAGAATCCATGAAAGCAGCTGGTCACCTCCTTTTGCCCCTTTGTCACTGACAGGACTCTTGCTGTTTAGGGGAGTGGGTGCTGGGTGCCAGGCTGACAGCTATCTCAAGGGCATCCAGAAGGTTCTAAGCACTAACTTAGTAGAAGGGGCCTCTCTGGTGGTGGCCCAGCTCTTGATGGTTATGTTGAGCGTGTGCTGCTGCTTCCAGTAACTTGAGGGAAAGGTCTTCCAGCTGGTGAGTGGCTGTTGCATGGTGGCAAGGAAGCCCCCTGAAGATGAAGCTGGAATCTAGCCATGATGGGTGATGTTGGGGCCTGAGGTGCATTTGCCCTTCTGTTTTGGTGAGAGGGCAGTTAGGTATCAGTTGGCTGAAGCCCAGCCCTGAGCAGGTGTACAAGGGTGAATGGGTACCAGTTGGACCAGTAGGTCCCTGGAGCATTCTGTCTGCAGGTCCCACCAAGCTTCCCCCTTGGGCTGGGTAGGCACCCAGGGAACTTGTCGGCTACAGTTCAGCTCCCTTTAAAACTCTTAGCACAGTGAGTCCAGCTCTATGGTGGGAGCTGGGGACCCAGATGGAGACAAGGACCCCACCAGTTTGGAGCTCAGTCTGGTAGGGAGACAGAAATGGGAACAGTTAAGACCCAGTGTGATCAGTACTGCGGCAGAGATGATTCTAGAGCTGGTGGGGCTGGGGTTCAACACCAAGCAGGGAGACCTCTTGGCCACAAAAGTCTCAGAATCGGTGCCCTCCAGGATACAGAACCAGATGTACCTGGGTGGAGGAGCCAGATGGATGATCCAGGGCCTCTAGTGGCTTAGGATGGCTTGGGGTGGGAGGGGGTGGTGATGGGTGGGTGAAGGAAGTGACTGGAGCCAAAGCCCGTGAGCACCATGCAGGGCTTTGAAAGCCATGTTAAGGATGCGGGGCCTCATCTAGAAGGCAGGGGCATCCCTAAAGGATTTCAGCTGGTTGTATTAGGATGTCTGCCTAGTATGTACAAAAAGCACCCCATGTTTACTTTGGGGAACCTTCTGTCTCAGTCCATGTGATTTTGATGGGGTTACAGATCTTTGGTTGCAAGTGACAGAACTGTCCTCCAACTAAGAGTGTTCAAAGGATATGGGGGAACGTGATAGGAAGAACCAGGACTGGGGTACCTCCAGGGTCTTAGTCAGAGACCCCATTCTCATCAGGGTATGATCCCCAGGAGCAAGATGTGACAGCCATGTCTGTGTCTGGATCATTAAGCCTGACTGCAAACCCAAGGAGCCCAAAAGGCCCAGCTGGAAATCTGCCCATGGGTGCACTGGGGGAGCAGGGCACTTGGGTTCAAAGGCCCAGCATGATGGCACCCATGGCATGCAGTGAATCCCCCTGATGAAATAGGGTGCTTGTACCCAAAGAAAAGGAAATGGATACTGGGTGGCTGAACATACATCCCCTCCCCAGGCATGAAACTGGATTGGTTCACCAATGGACGCTAAGCCATAATGAGTCCAAAAAGAGTCTTTTGGGGGACTTGCTAGAACTATTGGGAAGAATTGAAGTTCTGGGGTTGGGTGGCAGGATATAAGCCTAGAGCCGTGGGGGTCATCCTTGCCACCACCTGGGAATTTTCCAAAAATGATGCAAACAAGAAGGCAGAGTGGAGAGAATATACTATATCTGATACCATTGTTGCGACACCTGGAACCAATTGTAATCACAGATAAAATCTACATCTGGACTTCCTTATTACATGAGTCAAACACCTTTGGGCTCAAGCCTATTTATTTTGGGGTTCTGTCACTTGCAAATCAAAATGTCCCAGCTGATATGGTGGTGGAAGGTGTTTTTGGAAGATCACCGTGTGATAGAGAAGTTGGACTGGAAACAGAACCCAATTGAGAGACTGATGAACAGCCAGGTTCAGACTCAGCCTAGACAGTGGGGCCCTTACTAGGCCTCACCTCTATTCCCAGGGGATGAGCAGGGTCCATGAAGACCGGGGCTATGGGTCCAGCACTGAGTTCTTCCTGTGCCATTTCTTAGTAGACATGTGGTGCTGTATGCTCACTGGGGACGCACTGAGAGGGGCCGTGAGTTGGGAGGGGGCCATGTATTGGTGAGTTGTAATAACACTGGGGTGCTTGCCTGCTCCAACCCTTGCCCACCGCATGTGTGCAGTGCCCCCCAGGTTGTGGCCGGGGCGTGGACGTGTGTGTGTGTGTTTTTCCAGGTTGAACTCTGTATGTGTGTGTGTGTGTCAGGGTCCTTGACCTCAGCTGCTTGGCTTGAGCATCCTGTGTGCTCGGCCGATTGTGTACACCCCGTCTGCCTTCGTGCGCCCGGTTGCGGACAGCCTGTTGCCAGGAGCTGTGCGGCGTGGCGCGTGCATCCCCTGTGCAGGGGGAGCCCGGCGCCCCGCGTGCGAGTCTCCGCGCGACAGGTGGGTGCCAGGTCCTCAGCCTTCGGCTCCCAGGACGGCCTCCTCGGCGGCGAGTGGCTGGGGGTGGGGGCCCTCTGCTGGCTGCCGCGCGCGCGCGCACGCCGGGCTGGTACGCGCCGTGTACGCGCCCGTGCGCGCGCCCCACGGCTCCAGCCCAGCGCTCGCAGCCGCCTTCGCTGCCACAGTCAGCTCCCCGGTGCCGCCGCCGCCTCCCCCAGGCAGGGGGCTCTGTCCGTGGGGCCCGCGCCACTCGCCCCGAGCCAGGAGGACGAGCTCGAGGAGGATGCCTGGGCCCGTGAGTACCGCGGCGGCGGCGGAACGGGCGGGCCCGGAGCGCGGGAGGAAGATGATCCTGGGCTGAGCCCCTCCCCGCGGGCAGCTCCGCGCTCTGGCCCCGGGTCGCCGCCCCGGACCCCCCGCCCTGGCCAGCCCCTCCCCCAGCCCACTCCGGAGGGAGGGAGGGAGGGAGAGAGAGAGGGAGAGAGGGAGGGCGCCAGTGAGCGAGGGAGCCAAAGCCGGGCGCGAGCCGCCACCGGTTCGCTTGGAAACGGTTGCCACAGCAACGGGGTTGCGCTCCCCGGCAACGCGGCTGCGGGGCGGCGACGCCCCCTCCCACCCCTCCCCCACTCCGAGCAGCCTAGGGGCGCAGGGGGAGAGAGGGTGCGGGGACTCCCCCTCGAGCGGTGGGGGTAACTTCGCCAGTCTGGGTGTGCCTGCCTCCACAGCTCGTCGAAGATGGGGGTGGGGGGGGTGAGCGGCCCCGTGGGCACGAGCTGGCTCCCACGTGGCTGCAGTCGTCGCAGCAGGGCTCCTGGGGTGGCTGCAAACGTGGGGGCGGCCCAGCCCTTGGGCCTGCCGCGGGAGGAGGAGGCTTGGAGGCTGGGTATGGCGTCTGCACTCCGACCCCCGCCCCCCACCACTACCACCTCTCGCCAGGGAAATGGCCTGACCCGAGTTGGGTGCCACAGAGGCGATGTTCCTTACCAGGGGAGAAGAAAGAAGCTCACATCCCTCCTCCTCATGGCCAGGGCATGTGCCAAACCGCGGCTAGGGCCTGTTGTGGGTTTCTGCTCCGCGTTCCAAGCCACCATTCTCCGGGGAGTGGTGGGAGCAGAGTGGGCAGGAGCAGAGGAAAGGACATTGCTGAGCCAGGGAAGCTGAAGCTCAGGCCAAATGGGAGCGCCCCGGCCCATTGTCTGGATCACAAGTGTCCCTTTCTTGTCTGAGCACAAAGCCCGGACTGTGCTGGGTGGCATGCAGGTTGGCTGGCAGGCAGGCCAGCGCCACATGGAGATGCTCTGTCCTCCAGGGGAGCTCCTCTGGGAGGAGAGCGGCTGCTGAGTCAGAGGAAATGACCTCTGGCTCCTCTCCCAACCTCCCCCAGCCGGCAGCGGCAGGGTGCTGGGGAGAGAAATGGTCCTGCTGCCAGCTGTCCCAGACCTGACTCAGCAGACGCCAGCCTCCAATCACAGACCTTGGACTCAACATCCGAGTGACCACAACCACCCTTGGGTTCCCTCTCCCATCCAGGAAAGTGTCCTGGGCACCAGGGATGACCATCACCCTAGGCATTTGAGGCCTTGGCGTAAGGTGCCCTTAGATGGGTGGTGCCCGGAGTCAGTCTTGTGTCCCCCTCCTGCAGGCAGGAGTGCCTTTGGAATTATTCACAGGTTCCTTTCATTCTGTCCCTGTTCTGTACGAGACCTATGTTGAGTGTTCTGCGTCCATTATCCCCTAAGCCTTCCAACGGTTGTACAAGGTAAGTTTATTATCCCCATTTTAGAGATGAAGACTGCCAAGGCTCAGGGAGGTAAAGTGATTTCCCCAAGGTCACACAATCAGTAAGTGGTGGAGCTAGGTTTCCAGTGACGGTTTCTCAGCAGGCACAGCTGATCTGCCTGCCACACACCATCTCTTGTGAGCCAGGCAGAAAAGAACTGGAGGGCCTTCTAGAGGAGCATTCTTTACTTTCTTTCATAGTCTTCCGGTGAGGCAATTCCTCAGGTCTTTCAAGCCTTGGTACACCTTTCCTCCTTCCAGCAAAATCAGCTAGATTCTTGCTCACTCAGATGCTCTATGGGACTGTGATGCTGCTGGACAGGCTCCCTTCCTCCATTTTCTCTCTGGGTAAACCTGAGCAGTAAGGGCTACCTCAGTTACCTGGGAAGCCTCCAAGCCCCTAGTTTTTGGTTTGGGGGCTCTGTGGCCTGACCAGCTTGCCGCCTTGGCTTGGTCGAATTCAGCAAAGATGGGTCTGTGTAGTGCTGGCTGTTGTGGGTGCTCACTCTAGCTCAGAGGCTGGAAACCCAAATGGCTCTAGGGCCCAGGGAGCAACAGAATGAGTGAGGTGGGCCAGGGAGCTACTCAGCTAAAGTCTGTGTCACTACGTGAGAATGTGGACTTGGAATGACCAGATAATTTTCAAGATGAACCAAGAATCCCGACTTTTATGTAAAATCTCCTGGGCTTTAAATTTGGCAACTAGTCAGAATATTTTAAAAAATTGATTGTGGGCCAACAAAACATGCCCATGAACTGTGTCCTGCCTGAGAGTCACAAGGCCATGACCTCTGGTCCGTGGTAAAGTTATGGCAGTTTTTGCTGGGCCACTCCCAGGCTTGTGTAGATGTAGCACCATGGGCTGGTTTCCATATTTGAGCCTCTTGAGGCTACACAGTGCTGGCAATTGGCTTGTCACGTGCAGCTGTGTGCACCAGTCTTGAAGTATTTTCACTCCATCAGTTTTGTTCCTCCCTTGGCGGTGCTAGGCCAATCGCATCATCCCTGTCTTACAAGCAAAGAAACTTCAGCTCAGGCATGGGAACAGCTGGGATGGGGCCACACAGCCTGATCAAGGCAGAAGCAGGATTTTAAAGCCTGGGCTCTCCCTTCAGTGCTCTGTGTGTTATACCACATTGCCTCTTGGAGAGGCCATCCTCATCTTCCCCCAGCCCCCAAGGTGTGGCCAACTCCCTTGGAAGGACAGATATGAATACAGTAGACACTGAGCCACACAGGGCCTCTCCGCCTACAAGCTCTCTTGAGACCCCAGTCCCTGATGTCCTGTTGGCAGTTTCCAAGCTCCGGGTTCCTGGCCCGGTGCCAGGGTGGGGTCACAGAGGTGCTACCTGTAGGCAAGTGTGCCAGGCCAGTACCTTGGCCTAGCTAGAAATGAGGCTCTGGTCAGCTCTATGCCTGGCCGACTGGCGGCGGCCCTCTCTGGCCTCAGTTCATGTGTCTTGGTGTGGGAGGAGTGTAAAATTGTTACCAGGGCCTGCCTGAAATGCCCTTCCTGCCAGGACAGTGGGCTTTGCAGTCACCTGGGCATCACAACCACCTGCCTGTGTGGGCCTGAACTGCCCCAGCTCCTTATCTGGACAGTGGGGAGCCACTTCCTGGGTGTCACTGAGAGACTGAATGTGAAGAGGCCAGCAATGGGCCTGGCATGCGCTGGGCATGTAGGACAGGGTAGCAGTAACTTTTCCCACCCCATCCTCACTCTGTACACCCCATTTCCCCTCCCTCTGCTGTCCCCTGGTCTGCGTCCCTGTCCCTTCACTTGACCAGCAGCTCTGGCCTTATATCCAGGGAACCTTATGACCTGGAGCCCCTGCTGTCTGGGATTCCCTCTGTCCACTGCAGAGCCCCTGACATATGCCTCCATTTCCTTTTATTCACATGGATGTATGGATGCTTATCTCATTTGTAAACACCCTGTGAGGGCCAAGAGCTGGGTGATGGCTTCTCTCTCAGTGACTTTTTGGTGAATGGCTGACATTTCCTAGGAGTGAGTGTGATGCAGACCCAGCTCTAGAGGTGTTCCCTGTCCTACAGCTAAAAGACCAAAGAGGGAAGTGGGCAGCTCCAGTTACCCCAACAAGTGGTTTTGGAGCTGCTGCATGCCAGATGACAAGACAGATGCAACCTCTGGAGTTGCACACAAACAACTAGAGCACACTCTCCTATCCCTGGGCTTCTTATCCAAGCCTGGGCAGTGAGGCGGCCTGGAGCTGACTTGTCCAGCAAAGCGACAGTGAGGCCATGAAGCTGAGTAGTAAGTGTGGGGGCAAGAGCTTTGAGGCTGTGTTGTAGGCCCGTGGGGGGAAGAAAGCAGGACTCTGAGCAGCTAGGATGGGAACATGGGCAGGTTGCAGACGGAAGGGCACTGAGAGGTGAGGCGGAAGAGGCCTCGGCAGGAACTCATCCCAGAAGCCATGATCTAGGTCAGTTCTCAAAGTGTGCTCTCTAGACCACAACATCAGTATCTGCTGGGAATTTGTTAGAAATGCAAACTCTTGGGTCCAACCCCAGACCTACCGAAGCAAACGCTGGGAGCAGAGCCCTGCACTCTGGTTCTTTTTTTTTTTTTTTTAAAAGATTTTATTTATTTGAGAGAGAGAGAGAATGAGAGAGAGAGAGCACATGAGAGGGGGAGGGTCAGAGGGCGAAGCAGACTCCCTGCTGAGCAGGGAGCCCGATGCGGGACTCGATCCCGGGACTCCAGGATCATGACCTGAGCCGAAGGCAGTTGCTTAACCAACTGAGCCACCCAGGCGCCCCCGCACTCTGTTTTAACGAGACCTCCCTGTGGCTCTGCTGCTCATTCAGGGTTGAGAGGCACCCATCTAGACTCTTCAAGAGCTGGGCTGCCTCCTGAAATGGTGGGGAGCTGCCAGAGGGTTCACGCAGGAGAAGGCCTGGGGGAAATGGGCAATGTGGAAAGTGGGTAGGCTAGGCAGGGGCACAGCATGGAAGGAGAGCAGTGGCAAGCATGGCAATAGGGGCCCAGGTGAGAGATGATGGTGGCTTGGCCAAGGCGGTGGCAGGGGGACCAAAGGAAGTAGACAGATGAAGGCACAGTGCACTGAGGGTAAAAAGAACAGAATTTACTTTTTTTTTTTTTTTTTAGATTTTATTTATTTGACAGAGAGAGAGAGACTATAAGCCGGGGGAGTGGCAGGCAGAGGGAGAGGGAGAAGCGGGCTCCCCGCTAAGCAGGGAGCCCAATGTGGGGCTTGATCCCAGGACTCTGGGATCATGACCTGAGCCGAAGGCAAACACTTAATCGTCTGAACCACCCAGGCGCCCCTACTTTTTTTTTTCCTTAAAGATTTTATTTATTTTAGGGAGAGAGAGCGTGAGCAGGGGGAGGGGCAGAGGGAAAGAGGGAATCTCAAGCAGACTCCACACTGAGCTCAGAGCCTGACGCAGGGCTCGATCTCATGACCCTAAGATCATGAGCTGAACCGAAATCGAGAGTTGGATGCCTAACTGACTGAGCCACCCAGGCACCCTGTAAAAAGAACAGGATTTAGTGGGGGCGCCTGGGTGGCTCAGTTGTTAAGCATCTGCCTTCGGCTCAGGTCATGATCCTAGGGTCCTGGGATCGAGCCCCATGTCGGGCTCCCCGCTCCGTGGGAAGCCTGCTTCTCCCTCTCCCACTCCCCCTGCTTGTGTTCCCTCTCTCGCTGTGTCTCTCTCTGTCAAATAAATAAATAAAATCTTAAAAAAAAAAAAAAACAGAATTTAGTGGATGGAGTGATTGGTGGGCCCTTTACTGAGGTAAAGGATCCAATAGATCTTTGGCGTCTAAGACTGGAGTGCTGGGGTTCATCATGCAGAGGAGCAATGTGGTAGGTGCCCCCAGCAGTGTGCCAGGCCCCAGAATAAGAAATCTGTGTGACCTTGGGGGACCACTGAATCCCTGTGAGCCAAGTGCTCTCGTCTGTCAAATGTGAGGAATGCTAACCTAGTTTGTAGGATGCCTGAGAATGATTTGTGATGTCCAGCCCTCAGGCAGAGTGCCTTAAGGACACACACGTCTCTGTGTCCCCAGCTCAGAAGCGACCATCGCAGCACTAATGTTGTTGGGCATCTCCAAATCCTTTGCATGAACTAGCTCGGTTTTCATCATGGTCACTGACAAGGAAACTGGCATCATAGGGCTTAAGATATTCACCTCCTGGGGTTTTTGTCCTCCTGCTATACTCCCAGTGAGTGCATGGCCTAAGAAAACCATACACAGCAATACACTCACAAATTCTACAAATAAATCAAGATGGAATCCTAAAAAATGTTCAAATAACCTGCAAGAAGGTAAGAAAAGAGAATGAAAAAACAAAACAAATCATAAGATGCAGACTTAAGGAGGAGTCCCTGTGGAGGCACCACCCCTAGCACATAGCTGGAACTGGACAGGTGCAGCATTTGCCTGGACAGTCTGGAGGGGATGGGGAAGGTGTATGCCTGCAGGCAGGGTCTGTACTGAAGGGCTCCCCAGACAGGCAGGAACATGCAAAGAAGCATGGAGGAAGCTTAGAGAAGCCTGGCCTGTCAGGAAGAGCATCTGGGAAGGTCTGAATGACTCTCTTGACATTTATGTATCGAACACCTACTGTGGATCAGATGAGATGTACCGAGCAACTCCTGTGGGCTAGACAAAGGCAGGAGGGAGGCCTCAGGCGGGATCCATGCTCTCTGGGCCTGACAGAGCACCACTGAGTGAAGTAGCAGCCCAGATGGAGGGTTTAGCATCAAACCCCTGCCCACTCAAACTGGGTATTGGCACCAGTGTGACATCAGAGCCTTCCTCTCGGACCTGCAGCAGCCTAATCTCTAAAATACGGCAATGGTTCCTGCCTCCTGGCTGAGGAGCCATATTGGCACCTTGGGGGTCTTGGGTGTGGCCTGCTGCCATGCACCCTAATGCCCAGTCAGCTGATCTGGGCCCCTCACGCCAGAGTCTGTCCTTTATTCCTTGTTAACCTTGGAGCTGCCATCCCGTTTCTCTACCCTATAGCCTTTTCCTACTCTTGAGCTGAGGGCTGGTGGCCAGAAGTGCCAGGGTCTTGTTGGGAAGCAACTTGTTTGGCTACAACTTGGCCAGTTGGCCCACTGTCTCTATGTCTGCCAAGTCCTCACGTACCAGGTGCTCACATGCACCGGGCTCTTCATCTACATTCCAGTGGCCACATAAGGGAACGTATTTTGACAGACTCTGGATTCAGACTCAGGCTAAATCCTAGCTCCTCCCCTTATTAGCTGTGTGACCTGAGGCAGGTCATTTCTCTGTCTGAGCTTGTCTCCTCATCTATCAAATGGGCCCCCGCTGAGCAGGTGGTGTTACATATCACATGAGATTCTGAATGGAAAGGGCCTAGAACAAGGCCTGACATGCAGTAGACGGTTCTTGGCAGGTATTTCTATTTCTAATTCAGCTAAACTCCATCACCTCCAGCCCCAGAAGTACCTTTTCTGATCTGAAGCTGTTCCTGCTGTGCAGGCCAAGGGGCCCCCTAGTCAGTGCCAGCTTCCTCAGAGCATTCCTGAAAATTCCTGTGGGCTCAGGAAAAGGAGAACAACAGATTTAATTAACTCCCAGTGACTGGCAGCATCGTGTTTTTATCTGGGCTGCGTCGCCATGGCAGCCTCATGGTAGGGTTGTGGAGGGGGCGGGTGGAGCTATTGTTCTTGCCATTGTCTGTTCTGGAACACAGGCCCAGGAGAAAGGGACTGGCACGGGGACCAAGTGGCACATGGCACAAGGCAGCCACAGAATCAGACAGGAGCCATCTGGGGAGAAGTGTGGGGTGGCCTCTGGCCTGGCTTCCCCCCAGCTTGCTGTCAGAACAGTCTGAGACAGCTTGATGTGGAGCCCCCTGCTTGGGGCTCAGGCCCACCGTGGCCCCAGAGCTAAATGTGTGTGCGCGTTGGACGTGCTGAGGAAGTGGGCCCGGGGGGGGGGGTGTTCCATGGGGCTCTTGGAAGAGGCCCACAAAGTAGCTCAAGCAGCAGCACCCTCCCACCCCTGGTTAGGGTTTTGTGGCCAGGCTTGGGTTCAAATTAAGGCACTGCCATCTGCCATTTACACAGCTAATTGCTCCCCCCCCATCTGTAAAATAGGAATAACTATTATAGTTATCCCAAAGGGTTGTATGTGAAAGCCCTGGGTAGTTAGAAGGCGTTCAAGAAGGGCACACTTCTGTTCTGCGGGGGTGGTGAACAGTCGCCTGCCACCCGTCACTCGGCAGTCAGGGCTCCCTCCTACATACCTCTTAGGATGCAAGGTTCCCCTCTAAACCCTGGCTATGGAGAGGAGGAGACAGAACTAGACGTGCCCATCTGGAGTGATGAGAGACCAGGTGATACAGTAGCAAATGAGCTACTTTTCCCACCCTCTGCAGAAACGGAAAGGAATTGAGAGGAAGCGATACTGTGCACAGGAGCTAGAAGGGTAGGGCCAAGCGGGGCTGCGAATTGGTAGGAGGCTGGGGAAACGGAGACGGAGCTGGGATCTGACATGCGGAGGCGCCTAGAGGAAAGGAAAAGAGGGAACGGCCCACGCCCGGTGGTGCAGACAAAGGCAGGCCAGTGGCACGCAGTAACAGCAGGAACGACCCCGCCTGAGCCCCCTCTACTAGAGCGGCGACAGCCAGGAGGCCGCAGCGCGGGCCTGGATGTTCCATGCTTTGGGAGGCCAGGGGTAGGAGCGGGTACAAGGCCTAGAGCGCCAGGGGCTGCCAGACGCATGCACTGGGCTGAAGCTGGGCGTCGGTGGGCGGCTTGTGGGGCTGTAGGTGGGCCACCCTTTCCTGGCCGCGCAGCAAACGCCCCGAGACGCCTCTTCAGCGCCCCGGGGGGGTCTGTCCACCGGCCTCTGAAACCCTTTCTGAACTGGGGGTACCTTCTGGAGTGGCGAACCTCCCGTGCGCACCGAGGCTGACTTTCGCACGCCCTCTGCTGGCCCGCCTGGAGTCCCCTCGGCTCAGCAGCGGCGGCGGCTGGGTCTCAGATCCGGGAAAACCCTACCGGGGAAACCTCGAGGTGTGACGTCATCCTCCTCGGTGACGTCACCGGCCCCCCGGGGAGTGTGGGGGTTCCCGCAGAGGAGGCTTTCCCGGAACTGCGCAGGGCACCGGCGCGGGCAGGGAAGTCGTCCGGGATTGCAGCGCGCCTTCACCGCGCCCTGTGTCTGTCCTACAGGTCCCGCGCGGCCCCGGGTGAGGCCGGCCCGCGCGCCCACCGGCGCCATGGGAAGGAGCGGGCGCCGCTGCTGCTGTCCCCCGCCGGCGCGCGCACAACTTGAGCCCCGTCGCGGGCAGCCCCCGGCCGCGGGTCCCCGAGTGACGCTGGCGGCGCCTGGGAGCGTGGCGCGGGTCCGGGGCCACGTAGAGGAGCCCAGTGTCCAGTGAAGCAGCCGAGGACCCGCCGCCCCGCCGCCGCCATGGTTATGTCCCAGGGCACCTACACGTTCCTCACGTGCTTCGCCGGTTTCTGGCTCATCTGGGGCCTCATCGTCCTACTCTGCTGCTTCTGCAGCTTTCTGCGCCGCCGCCTCAAACGGCGCCAGGAGGAGCGACTACGTGAGCAGAACCTGCGCGCCCTCGAGCTGGAACCCCTGGAGCTCGAGGGCAGCCTGGCCGGGAGCCCCCCAGGCTTGGCGCCGCCGCCACCACCGCAGCGCGGCCGCCTAGAGGCGCCGGCGCACGGGCATCAGCACGTGCACGTTCACCCACTGCTGCATCACGGGCCGGCGCAGCCGCACGCACACCCGCACGCACACCACCACGCGCTTCCGCACCCGCCGCCGGCGCACCTCTCCGTGCCGCCGCGGCCTTGGAGCTACCCGCGCCAAGGTGAGTCCCGACTTCCGCCCGGGGCAACGCAGGCCACTGAGGGTGGGCGGGGTCACTGCTGACCAGCGAGGCTTCCAGTGGACAGCCTCCCCGAGAACCTTGGAGGGAGCGGGCTGGGCCTGGGGCTGGCGGCTGGCCAAGGCCTCCGCGGGAGGCCGGGGACGGGTGGCCTCACCCTTCGGATCGCTTCCCACTCTGCAGCGGAATCGGACATGTCCAAGCCACCGTGCTATGAAGAGGCGGTGCTGATGGCCGAGCCGCCGCCGCCCTACAGTGAGGTGCTCACGGACACGCGCGGCCTCTACCGCAAGATCGTTACACCCTTTCTGAGCCGCCGCGACAGCGCGGAGAAACAGGAGCAGCCGCCGCCCAGCTACAAGCCGCTCTTCCTGGACCGGGGCTACACGTCGGCGCTGCACCTGCCCAGCGCTCCACGGCCCGCGCCACCCTGCCCTGCGCTCTGTCTGCAAGCGGACCGTGGCCGCCGGGTCTTCCCCAGCTGGACCGACTCGGAGCTCAGCAGCCGCGAGCCGCTGGAGCATGGAGCTTGGCGTCTGCCGGTCTCCATCCCCTTGTTCGGGAGGACTACAGCCGTATAGAGGGGCGCCCGGCGTTCCGGGCCCCACCCGCGGACTCGTGGCCTGACTGCGGGGCTTTTTAAATGCTTCCCTTGGACTGCGGGGGGGTGGGGAGGGAGGGATTTCTTACCCCGTTTGTTACATTTTGAGGATAATAAAGGTGTGTGATCTGGTTTGGTACAAGCGGAGGGGACACCCACTGCTTGCGCCCAAGGTTCTGGTAGCCAGGCGTGCCTGGGCCTTGGTGGGACAGAACCTGAGTGTGCCTTTTGACTACAAACTGGCCTGAGGATGGGGAACCTAACTTCATAGGCTGGTTCCCCTGGGAGCCCCAGACCCTACCTTCCCTGCCCGGCAGATCACAGTGAAGGCAGCCCCGGTGACCTTGGAGGTGGGAAGAGTTGGGAATCGGGGTCAGGGCAGGCGGCACACCCCAGATCCGCCCCTGGAGGCCCGGAGCAGCAGGCCCGAAGGGATCTGGATTTCTTTATTAACAGACATGAGCACGACCCGTTACAGAAGTTTGTGCTTTCCAAAAAACAGTTACTGAACGTGAAAAAGGAACCCAAGCAAAGAGGGAGGAGTTGGGGAGGGGCCACCCAAGCCCCGGGCCCCACCAACAGCCCTGACCTGATCCGCGCCTAGGGCCTCCAGCTTGGGACCTGCCCAGCAGGAGGGGGGCAGGAAAGGGCCTGGAAGCTGAGGGGCCCCAGCTGGGCCTACTTCCTTTGGGCCAGGCGGGGAGGGGTCAAGAGAAGGGCGGGGAGGGGGTCCCAGGGAGCCAGAGCCCACGAGCCATTTATTGCCATGTTTTAAAATTCGTGCAAAATATCTGAAGCCCTGGACAGAGAATACAAAGTGATATTTTTCCAAGAAACATAAAACTAGGAAAAGAGGTGGGGCATTTTCCCACCAGAGCTCCCCCGACGCCAGGCCCCAAGTAGGGTGAGGCCTCCACCCCGGCCAGCTTGAGTGAGCAGGGAGGACTAAGAGCTACAATCTGGACCGGGCGGGGACGGGGTAGAATTTGCAACAGCGTCTCAACTACCAACGGGAGGAAAACCAGTCAACTGTACAAGTCTCCTATCAATTTTAAAAAAAAGAGAAAAGCTGTAAAAGTCGGGCCCTGTGGGTAGGGAAGCGGCCAAGTCCTGGGCCAGGGCCGGAATCCGGAGTGGGTGCCAGGCGGAGCTGCTGCGAGTGCAGGCGCGGCGGGCCGTCTGGCCAGAGGCCGGCACAGGTGGGCGGCCTTGGCAAGGGCAGCCTGAGGGCGGGCGCCACCGCTAATCACCGCCCTCGAAGCCCTCCTCCTCTTCTGGTACTGGGTCTGCATCCCAGCAGGTGATGTCGATTTCTGTGATGTTGGGAAGGGAGTGGAGTTAAGGAAATGGCCCAGCAGATCCACGGCTGTGTCCCCCAACCCCTAGGAGCTGTGGCTGTGTGTGTATGCAAACACACTCGAACCCAGCACGGCCAACTGATTGTGTGCGTGCGCGCACGCGCATGTTCACACTTGAACCCAGCACCCCTACCGGAATCCCCCCCATCACCCACCCCAGTACTACCTGGAGGTTTGTTGTAGAACACAGGAGGCGGGGCCTTTGCGCACGGCTCTTCCGATTGGGCGAACTCCTCCTCCTGTGATTGGCTGAAGTACCCTTCACTGGCCTGCAGGAGGAAAGCTCCAGGTCACTGGGCCCCACCCAGGATGACTAGGGCGGACCTACCAGGCCTGAGCTCGTTTCCCCAGCAACCAGTGATTCCATCAGTGGTTTCCAGGGAAACATATACCTGCCTTGGGCACAGAAAGCAGAGCTGGCCCAAGGAGGAAGAACGGAATGACCCTCCAATAACGGGTCACGGAGAAAGGGAGTACCCCCTTGTTAGAACCCTGACCGCCACCCCTCCCACCAGGCTGTCCCTGCCCCACCTGGGTCCCCTCCTTCTGGGTGGTCTCGCCATTGGTCAGCAGGTGGGGCTCGGGCTCTGGCTCCTGATCCAGCTCCTCTAGAGCCGCGGGCAGAGTTGGGACCTGGGGGGCAGCTAGGGGCTCCCCTTCTAGTTCCTCCTCTGGGTCACAGAAGGTAGCAGGCGGCTCAGGCAGCTCATCAAAATTGAGAAGGTTGGCACAGCCTTTGCCTGCCAGTGGCAGTGGCTCCTCAGCCACCTCGTCTAGCAGGGGTACCTCTGCCAGAGTGACCTCGGCACCCGAGGGAGGTGTGGGGACCCGAGGCTCAGCCTGGGCTGTGGAGGCCTCTTCCCCGTTGCCAGGCCATAGGTCAATGAGGCTGGCAGCGGCGGGGGTAACGGGGGCAACAGCGGTGTGAGCAGTGGCAGTGTCGGTCTCTACGGCCTCAGCAGCCGGGGTGTCAGCTGCCGTGGCGCTGGCCACGGCAGGCTCCAGCGGGGCAGCCAGGATGGCTTGCTCTGGAGATGCCGTGAACATCAAGTCCTCCGTGGGGCTGCCTTGCGCCCGGGGAGGCTCCGGTGCCTGTGGGGGCTCCTCCCCGGGGCCGGCCCAGGCCTGAGGGGCTGCGGCTCTGGCCTCTTTGCTGGTCTCTTCACTATCCAGGCCGGGCCCGGGCTCCTGGGTCTCTGTCATAGCACACATGGAGGACAGACAGGTAGTCAGCTCCCCCAGGAAAGGACGCAGGCCTGGGGACAGCCACCCTACTCTGCTCTGCCCACCCGCTGGGGAGTCAGCAGCTTCCAGGAGAGGAGGCTTCCATAAAGGGCTCCATACAGAGCACCTTCCAGCACACCCCCTGGGCCCTGCTGCCCCTCTGTCTCCTAGGGTCTTTCAGCTGCTCGGCAGCCCTGGGAGGCCAGATCCCCATTCCAGGGAGACACGCCGAGGCTGGGAGACGGCAGGTCTGACCGCAACACCAGGGCTCCCCCCGCCGGCCATAGCCACCCCCGGCGCAGTACAACGTGGGTGATGGCTGACTCAGATGACCATGGCCACGTGGGGGTCCCAGCCCAGGGACCGGTGGGAGCCCTGGGGCAGCTAGGGTGTAGCCCCTCACTCACCTTGCGGGGGTGGCGGGGGCAGTGGTGGAGGCTGTGAGGACGTGACCTCATCCAGAGCCCGCTCAATCTGTTCGGTGACAGGGGTAGAAGCCGTGCTGGAGTCAGATGGGCTCCGGGTGGGGATGGGGGTAGGTGCCATCCTCCGGTGGCTGTCCAGGTGGCTGCCTGTGGAACAAACCCCCAGGCTGGTCAGGGAGGGCCTGGGAGCCAGGTGGGGCCAGGACTGTCCACCTCGGGGTCTGGCCAGCACCTCCTTTGTGGAGTCTGGGTGGAGGCTGGGAGCCCCCCCAGGCCCCTCAGGGGCCAGACCACAGCTCCAGATCCTATAAGCCAGGCCCCTTGGGGTCAGAGCCCCTTCAGGGCCAGGGGAAAGAGGCAGGTAGTACCTGCTCTGGGGACAAACACCAGAGATCAGCAGTCAGGCTGGGGGAGTAAGGGTGGGGGCACTGCTGGGAAGCGGGGCCCTCCTTACCCCTCCCACTGAAGCCTGGGGCTGCTACCTACATGGGAGGGAGGAAGAGAGGTTTGGGGTGCGGTGACAGGTGATATAGGGAAAGGGAGTCCGTGGAGGGGAGGAGGAGGAAGAGGAGGAGGAGGAAGGCCCACTGTCCGATGCCTTTATGAAAGGGCAGTACGGACGACCTGCCGAGAGAGACAGACAGAGACAGAGGACAAGAGAGGGTCAGTCTCCCCCACCCCTGCCCGAGGCCTCACCCGCCCCCAGGGCTGGCCCTAGCCATCCAAACTGCCTTCAGCTAGGGTGCACAGTCAGCCACGCTAGGCCACAGCCTCAAGCCATCAGATGACTCCCACCAGCACCAGGCACACACAGCAATGAGCCTGCCACACCAAGCCGGCCCCTAAGCATCATGGGACAGTGGGCCCCAGCCCTGGAACCCCAGCACAGGGCCAAGCACACAGCAGGGGCAAACACGCAGAGCAGCAGACAGAGCAGAAGGGTGCTTTGTGGAGGGAGGTGGGAGCCGCACCGCGAGAACCCCAGCAGCAAGCACTGGGTGCAGGGTCCCAGGCTACTCAAACTCAGGCCCAGGGTCAGAGCCCACCTCACATGCACCCACAGCCCTTCAGGCAAGACCTAGTTCAACCCCAGTGGGGCCGCTCCCTGCAGCCCGGGGGGGTGCCTCAGCCCATGCCAGAGCTGCCCGGATGACCTCTGGCACTACCCACTGGCCAGCCAAGGCCAACACCGACCCCGGCCTGAGCCCCTCGCAGGCCTGCCACTCGGAGCCGGTGGGTGAAAGCATACTCGATGAGTGGCCTTGCCTTCTCCAAGGGGTCCTTGGGCAAGGCTTCCCTTCCAAGAAAGAGCCGCAGAGAGGCTCAGTCCCCAAACCTGAGGAGTGGGGGTCAGGTGGGGGTGGGACCTGGGACTACCTGGCCGGTGGTTGAAGGGCGAGGGTGCATCGCAGCTGCCTGCAGAGGCCGATGCAACTCGTTCCTGCTGCTTGAAGAATTCCCGCGGGTTGTCAGGCCGCTGGGCAATAATGGCCGCTGCCTCCTGGGGGCACAGAGAAGGGGTCAGGGCGGGCCCAGCGGAGGCGAGCCCTGCCCACCTCACGTGCCCTCTTCAAAGCTCTCACCTCTACTTCCGACTCGGACTTCTTCATCTGGGTCTCTTCCTCCTCATCCCGCTGGTCACCCTGGAAACCCAAGGGACAGTGTCCTGGGCACCCCACTCCCCCTGAGCTCTTGGCCTTCTAACAGGCCCCATGTTTTCTCCACAACCTGGCAGGAAGGGGCTTGGAGGTGGCACCTCTGCTCCCTTCACCACCCAGTCACATAGCTCCCTCTCCACCTGCACTGTCACTCCATAGCTCTGCGTCTTCCAGAACGAAGTGCAAGGCCTCCTCAGACCAAGCTCTCTCTCTGGAGCCCCAGAAATGACCTGCTCGCTGCAATCCCCACCATTCCCTATTGCACTGCACCAGCTAACTGCACTGCAGTTTTGAGGCTGCAACCCCAGGAGTAAAAGTAGATGGGGCCCCTTGTTTGTCCCACGTTCCCTTCCCCCTTGTCTGATCTGGCCTGTCACCGCTCTAACACCCGCCTCCTGCCCTGACTCACCCACACACCCTGTAAGATGTAGCCACAAAGTCTCACTCAGCACGATGTGGTCACAGTTCCTGGAACAG